ACTGGTTGAAATCATAAATGAAGGATAGTATGAGTGGTCATAAAATTTTACTGATGTTACTATTTCATCTCAGATGCTCAAACCTTTAGTCATTGTTCAGTGTCAGTGGGGAACCCTGATATTTTTAAGCTTCTTATCGTCCAATTTTATTTAAAATTAACTTTCTAATGCAGTTAATTTATTTACATGTTAACCATAAAAGCAATTTCACTAAAAAAATGAAGGATGTTTCTCAAAAAGAGAGGGACAACTGTACAGACTGATAAAAAGGATGTCAAACAGAAATATTTCTTTAGTTAAAACACCTTTCTTTCGTCAATTTGTCAAAGAGATGAATAAACATGGTCACCTAACAATTTCAACTACTTTTCAACAATCTTTCCCTTTCCTATCTGATCACCAACTGATTTCATTAGGACGGTCACTGGAAACCGAATATCACTTGGTAGCCGCATACACCAATGGTGCCACTGGGGATCTTCCCCATGACCTATAGGTTACTGGGCGAGCTCGTCAACCATTCAGCCACTAGGATGAAATTTGATGACCAAAGAACTCTAACTCCCTCCAAATCACCAATGAAGAGTCCCAAACTGGGACGAAACATCTGTTTAGTATTCCCTGGCTTTAAACGGTTTTCTAACTGAAGTGAGATCAGGATAAAACTGGAAATCAATCAAATGATTGCAAATCAACACTTGACAACGTTATACTTTGCAAAAATGAAGGCGTTTACTCAACAAGATGTGGATATGTTTTAACCACCTAGCTTTCCATAACATTAGCTTCAAGTGAGCATGTGACTACTCTCAAATGACTATCCTTTTTTAGAAAAAAGAATGTATAAATATCCATAAGGTATTAACTCTTATCCAGGCAAACAAATCGCATTCAAATTTTCCAATGGTTCTCTAACTGATGTCTTGCCTCATTAATGAAATTGCTCATTATGAAATCCTCCAGCCAATCAAACAAAAATCCCTAAAAAACCAATATTAAAAAATTTGAAATAAGTCATGTGAGTAGTATCTAAAAGCTTCACAGCTTTCAAAAACCCCTAATTGACCAGGAATTTGGAAAGTTTTAAATGGTCAGAGTTGAACAACAGAAGAGATTAGAGAAACAAGTTATCAGGAATAACACTGAGTACTAATGTTAGTCAAAATTAACTTCAAAATATGAGGCTTGTCAAATGTTAAAAAAAAGTCATTTAGCAGAAAGCATTTGCCTCCGAACAATTAGGAAAACTTAGGTACTGTCTAAATACACTTCATTTTCTCCCTGATACTAGTTAGCGTAGAGATAAACAATAATGTTTTTCTTTTTTAATGCGATAGCCTGATAATCTGAATTTGAGTCAATTTAAATAATTAAGAACACAAAATTCACCTAGTATATATGCATACATATAGATCTGATCGATTAGTAAGTTGTTAGGAGCATTCATCTGTAAACTGCTGAAACAAAACATCCTTTTTTTAGGAAACTTAAAAAAGGAGACTTAATTTTTGTTAGAAAATATCTGTAATTTTCTAAAAGTCAAACCCGGTTGACCAAGGTTTAGTGTCATTCTATAAAAGGAGATAAGTGGAAATTATACTCAGTAATGCGGTAGGAAACTCTAACCTAAATGAATTGCAGTGGTTTGTGGCAGGCTGCAAAAACTCACATTAAACTTATGGTCAGCTACAGCCTCACTACACTGACATGAGGAATGCACTGAATATTTTGCGGATGGAGCAAAGATAACTAATTTTGGCCACCTGTAACCGTAGCAAGGAGATGAATGGATTCCCAGCTCTGATAATATCGGCTATCAAATATCGGTTTCTTACGGATTTAGTTTGAGTGGTTGGAGGATTTCATCACGAGCTGACGTCGTTTATAGAACCATTGGAAAACCAGGGAGTACAGGATAGCTGTTTCCTCCATCCTAGTTTGGAACTCTTCAGCAGTTAGCACACACCACCAAGGTTCAAAACCAGGACCTTATGGCTACAGGGCTAGCGATCTCGTAGACAATTAACCCACTGGGGCATGATCAAATAACCAGTCTATGAATTCTAAATTCTGCCAATTCACGACCAATACTTGAAAAAAACTGACGTGATTCTCACTACTGACTGACCCAATTCAGGCACTTACCTGGATTTCTAGTGAGAAACTGTGACCAGTAGGTTGCAGCAGGTTAACGGTTAGACAGTAACTCATCGAAGAAGACATTGTAAAAAGGTCGCACTATATCGTGAATTGTCAGAAGTTCAAATTCATGGACTGGTGTTTGGATCGAGTCCCAGTGACCTAATGGTCTACGAGCTAGCTCGCTAGTCTTGTAACCAGAATGTCCTGGTTTCGAAACCTGGTGGTGAGTGCGTACTGCTAAAGAGTCCTACACTAGTGGGACCAAACGGCTGTTCAGCACTCCCAGGTTTTTCAATGGTTCTGTAACCGATGTCATCTCATGTTGAAATCTTCCTACCAGTATCAGCTTTAACAAGATATGTACAACAAAAGATATGAAGACAATGTGTAACTTATCAAAAAGCATGTAGTCCTATAAACCTGTTCTCATATAACTAAACTAAATGAACATCAAACAGGCCTACAGTAATTTACACTAGATTTCAGTATTATTGCAATAACTGTTTTACTATTACTCATACATGGTTTATACACTTTAAGGAAAACTTTGAGCAGACTTCAGCTTGAACAGACAAGTCTGGGAGGTTTATATCTGAGCAAAGATAGAAAAATCAATAAAAGTGAAAGTTTATTTAGTATGTGTCTAATTAACTAATGACAGTCTAACATTAACAAGCACTTAATAATTACGCTATCACAAGTATAAGTAGGATGATACAAGCAGACAGATAGATATTCAGAAATTTTTGCCCAAGCATCATGGTTACGTGTAATTCTGTAATGATTCAATTAACACAGCATTATATGAACACAGAAAGAATACAAATCACTCTACAAATCTCCGAAATGTTCAAACCTAGACACTGATAAGATAAATTATGATATGATACAAGTATTCACAAATAAATACAATTTCCTTGAATATTTTCTTGGAGTTTCACGTAAATTCAAAGTCGAAAGCATAGACAGTTTCATTCATTCACACACGCACACCACACCTCACATGTCTTAGCGATATTTTTGAGGCATAAATCGCCAAAGCAAGTTCACATTTTATAGTTTGGATATATTCAGATATTGGGTATATGATATTCATTACTATACGATTGGTGGATGGTGGCTAGCAGTGGAATCCAGGATGCGCATTTCGTCCTATTTGGGACTCGTCAACTGCACAAGAAACCGACATGTCAACCTGAGACCGAGCACTTCGGTCCAATCAATCGACGGGAAAATCAAAAATTCAATTCGATATTCATTACTATTCGAAATTTATATTCTCCAATCAACTAAAAACAAAACGATGTTGCTTCTACTGACGTTTTTGCTACTTAGTGCTATTAGTTTGGTCGAATTAATAAGAAAAAAGAATTTACATAACCTCAGTCAACCCAGAATAACCGGATGGGTGTTCTTTAATGTGAAGTATCTCCTCGCCATCAAGTGAAAGGATCAATAAAGATAAAAGACATGTGAAAACTATCAGATTGGCTGAGTAAATGAATTACAAAAGCAACATATGTTTATAAGGTGAAAGGTTCTTATCACAAATGTGTTAACGACGTTAGTTTGGCAAATGGGATCACTGGATTCAATTAAGTATTATCTTAACCAAACATACCTTTTCGGACAGCATGGACTCTGTTTTGTGCGAAGGGTTTCCGTTATCAGATATTCTTTATGATTTTTAAAATTTCACTTAACGAATTCAATGTTATCAAGATAATTCTTATGACCTGATATTGCAGGGTGTAAATCAGTGGCCAAAGATTTCTCAACAGTTCAGTAGAAGTAATACAATATTCCCTTTTAATTTTACTTAATTAATCACAGTGATGATCATGTATTTTTTCAATTTTTATGAATGAAAATTCATTTTCAGTTTGCATTCTCTTAAAATAGATAGTCAGATGGACACAAGTCATGAATTTAAAGACTTCAATTAAAGATAAGCTCAATTAACTTTAATTTACAAACTAAAAGCAAAACTAAATGACACCACACGTATGTTGTAACAAAAGCTAAATCTTATTTGATTGGTTGGAGGATTTCATAATGAGCTGACATCGGGTAGAGAACCATTGGAAAACAAACTGACAGTACTGGGCATCTGTTGAGTCAGCCTAGTTTTCGAATTTCCAGCATTACGCACCCACTGCCAAGGCTAGAGCCCAGGACCTTCTAGCTACAAGGCTAGAGAGCTAGTCGACCACCGAGCCACTGGGACCCGAACCAATATCCAATCCATGAATTCCAACCTCTGCCAATTCACGACATGACGCGACCACTTCAAGATGCCTTCTTTGATGAGTAACTCTCCTCACCTTCGACCTGCTGTACCTTACTCGTCACGGCTTCCCGCTAGAACCCCAGGTCACTGTCTGAATAGGACCAGTCGTCAGTGAGGATAGGGTCGGCTTTTTCTAGTTATTGGTCGTGAATTAGCAGAAGTTTGAATTCACGCACTGGCCATTGGATTGGGTTTCAGTGACTTAACGGTCTACGAGCTAGCTCGCTAGTCTTTTAGCCAGAAGCTCCTGGGTCCTAACGTTGGTGATGGGTCGGTACTGTTGAAGAGTCCCAACCCAGGAGGACGAAATAGCTGTACAGTACTTAATGCAGGTTTTCCAATGTTCCTGTAAGCGATGTCTGCTCATGATGAAATCTTACAATCAATCAGAAACATATTTTGGAAACTGTTCATACACTTACCAAATGAATAGCAGTAAAAGTGATTTTTCTCATCAATAAAGAAAATAACTGTCGAGTAAATAACTTGTTGTGAAGGTAAAACACTCAATAAATTATAAAACACTGCTTATGAAGATTTTTTAGCAATAACAAAATAGGTTACTTACGTAATACGTTCATCCTCTTTCCTTTCAACTAGACGTGCTCTTGCTAACACTTGTTGTATACGTTCCTTCTCTTCATCAGTTAATTCCATTTGTACAGTTTTAAGTAAAGCTATCCCGGTAGTCGATGTATCAGCTTTTAGTTTTGGGCTAAGTATACGCCGAGAAGATTCATCATTTCCAAACTTGTCATGTAACGAAATATGTGACTGACTTTTACGTGAAACTGATGATAAAGGAACATCTTTGTCAGGTGAACTCTGTCCAAGATAGGCAGTAAAATCACGCTGAAGTGATTGACTACGTCTGTGACTTGTATTATCTTCGAGAAAATCCTCTTTCTCTACCGCCTGACTAGTTTCGTTGCCCATACTGAATCTTTTCTGTCTAATGCATTAGATTTAAATTATGTATATTCCACTAGTTTAGTTTTCAATTTACACATGATATTACATCCAAAAAATAGTTTTTGTAAGAATAATTTTTACTCGTTTTGTGAAAAAGAAAAGATGACCAATAATTTCACATAGGAATATTTTATTCTCAAAATTCCTTCTTATTTATTTTTGTTCAATTCATGTATAAAAATCACTGAATATGTGGTATTATTGGGGTATATATTTTTCAAAATCTATTTCTCAAGTTTCATGCTTCTCGGAGTGGAAACTGATAGGTTATTGGACAGTATCGATAGTCTGATGCCACTGGCCAATCAAAAACAGTAGCCTTGAAATCTACTCATTTTAATGGATATATATTTGAGTCCTAACAATTGGATTGCCCTAATATTGATTGATCTAGTCTAATTATATTTTTTTGAAATGTTGATAAACAGTTAGTCAAATAAAGGAAATTGCTAAAGAAATAATTTTTAACTGCCCTATCAGAAAAAATTATATATTATTAGTACTGGTCGTAAAAACATTTTGAGTTCCACATTTATGTTGTAAAATGAATTGGTTGCCAACCAGAATCAATTTTATCAATATATATATATATTGTTAATAAGGAAAAGAATTTATGAGATGAATAAAGGTATCAAACAGGTAAGATTTAAGTAATATATATTCTCCTCGCCTTCCAGAATAACATTCTAAGACTTCAGAGTTCAAGCTGGAGATTTTAACTACTCACTAAATTATCAAAACTCATCTGCTGGTATTTTTCAATTTTTTCCTCTCTCATACAACTTAGAGACTATCACTTTCAATAAACTTTCTTTTTGATTGTCATGGCATGATGTCAATTTATTTTTCCAGGAATATTAAACCCGCAGAGCATTCATTGTCTTTTCTGTCATAGATTGAAACTTTTTAGATTATTCTCATCTGGAAAACTTCTGGGATTGAAGCTAGAGACTTTCACTTTTCGCAACAGGTAAAATATTATGCAAACAATGAAATGTAATTCGATTATTTGAGTTTGAGCAGCTTGAACTTCCTACCATGGCAACCAATCATATTCGACTTTCTATTCATGGATAATCCCCATCCAGGCAATAATGGAAACGAAACACGTAGATCAGCGAAGAGTCTATTTTCGGCGAATTCATTTTCTTAGCTGTACAATCGCAAATATATACCTATTATTTTGTATGGATGTTTACATTAAGTTTATCAAAGGTTGTCTACTGTCTTGGTAACAACCTTTTTGATTTGATTATTTTAAATTTTGATTTTAATGATTTATGTGCATCCTGAGTAAAACTCACACATCAAACTATTCATATTATTACATAACTTCTTTTTTAACAACTGTTTGTGACAACTCATCACTTTTATTACTCACCTAATTTCATTAGCACCTAATTTTCTTGACTTCTATTATAAATCTTCCCCTGTTCAGTTAAAACTATCATAACCAATTGTACTTTTGTTTGATAAACTTAATGTACACATACACACAAAATAACGCATATATATTTGCAATTGTACAGCTAAGAAAATGAATTCACCGAAAAGAGTTTCTTCGCTGATCTACGTGTTTTGTTTACATTAATATTCGACTTAGACAACTAGAAACCCACCAATCATGTAAAAAAATTCATAATACTGAATAATAAACTGATATGTATCCATATATATATATATATATATATATATATATATATATATGGTGGTCTCTCTTTCTGTTTGCTCTCTTAGTCTGTGACCATTTCACTCTGATGAACCTGTCTCCTTTAACAATGTATATTCCCCTTATATTATATATAATATGAGTGTTTGTTGACGGTCCGTTGCTTGGTGACCTGTATCCATATTATATGTGTGGTTGTTGACATGTCTGCTATATTTTGCTATGTATATATGGATCGATACTCCATTATAATTAGCCATTCATGTTAAGACTGTCTAGTGATTTGTTCACACACTTGTCTGGACATTCACATATATTTCGCCCTCACAATCTTGTGTGACACTTTTTGATGTGATACCACTTTTGCATTATCCTTGTGTTTGGAAAATAGAAGTATCATCGAAAACCTAGTGGTCTTCTGATTTCCGTCTTTCTTGCGTCAGGACTATTAAATTCTCGACCAGTACATAGCAATAATTTGGCGACGAGTACATAACATAAACATTTATTACCTCAGTATTTTTGAATTGCTTTTCTTAACTGATGTAAATATTTACTTAAATATATCACTGTCTAGAAATATATAAGGGCTCTGAACCTTTTCTATTAGCCAGCAGTGAGAAACGGGAAACCTAAATATTAAATGATCGATAGTTGGCGAAGCGGTGAATAATTTTCACATATTTTCAAGATTCGTCACGGACTGATATCAGTCAGAGAACCTATGAAAACAATCACTTAGGCGTAGTTTAAGACTCTTCAGTTGTAGGCACCACTGATGCCACCGGGGATGGAACCCAGGATCTTCAAGTTACAAGGAGAACCCGTTGACCATTCGCTATATCAGTCCATGATTAAACCTGGAATAACTTAAGTCTTCACAGGTTAACACTTCAAAACTAATTTAACACTCACTAGTAACTGACATTTGGACGATGTTACCTAGAATCCTAATTAGAAACTGTAATCAGTGTGGAGTCCACTAGGTCAGATGTATGGACAAATGCTCACCGATGACACTGACTGGCGGTCGCACTAAAATCACGAACTGACAAAATTCAGATCTGATAAGTCGATGACAGAATTCCGTCCCAGTTACTGAGTGGTCAACAAGCTCCCTTCGCAACCTAAAATTCTTGGGTTCGGTCCGCTGTTGAAGTGTGCTGATGAAGAGTCGAAAACAAGGACGAAACAGTTGTCCAGTACTCTATTTCCCAGTAGTTATCTAACTGATAGAAATCCGCGATGAAACTTGAAACAAATCAAATCCTTACAAAATAACTCTTGAAAATCTTGAAAGATACCAGAAACAGTGATCACTGATCAAAACGGTTTGTGGATATTTTCAAAAAAAGCATGTCAGCGCATAAAATAAAAACAAAAGCATAAGTACATGTAACTATGAAAATGATGGACAATACTCGTTTCTTAGAATTTTTAAATTTGATTTCATTAGGAATTTCACTGATGACTAAATCAAAACCACCAGATATATCATTGTCATTGGAACTCTGAAACGTAAAATTGCATGTGATAAATATTTCCACCATGACAAAAACAGCTCTCCGACCACCTAAAATAACTCAACCTGGAATTAGGTATAGACATAGTTAGATGAAAGCTGCTGATTGAAACATATAATGTTCATCTCTTTTAACTATATTTTTTGTTTCTTTTATTTTTTATTTCGAGGTGACGATTATCAGTGACAAGAATAATGAAAATTACATATGTCCAAAATTCCCTTTAACAGCTTGAAACAATTTTGGCATTCGGTGTATGATATTCATTATAATAAATTCTTTTTGTATTTCCCAATGAATAAAAAATAAAACGATATTGTTTTTATTGACGTTTCGCTATTTAATTCCGCTAATAGCTTTATCAAAGTATTATTAAACCAGAATTTACAAAATCTCAGTTTATATACAAAACAACTTAATCATCGTTCCTCGGCATGGAGTAATTTTTACGTTGCCGAATTGGCCAATTGTTAAAGATAACAAAGGCAAGTGTAAATAGTTGGATTTGATAAGTGTATAAAATTATAAAATTAGCGTGTGTTTACATAATGAAATTGCTTATCAGTCACATTCGTATAGATTTTGTCACTTTATGGGGGAGGGAGATGTTGTATCAAGGTCAAATTCTGTTTCGAGTTCATCATTGCTATTCAGACAGTTTGGATTCCATTCGATGATGTGAAGTTTTTCTAATGTCAGAAGTTCTCTGTGATTTCTGGAATTTTTCTGGATTATTTCAATATTGTTAAAATCAATTTTGTGGCCTGGTTCTAAAGCGTGTATACCTTTGGCTGAGGATTTTTTAAGCATTTCTAGTTCAACTGGATTTCTCATTGGTTGAAGAGATGCTCTACGGTGGTCATTTCTTCTAATTTTGATTTGTCGTGATGTTTGTCCAATGTTATCACATCACATTCCAAGCATTTTATTTCAATAGACTCGATTAGGCAGAGAATCTTTAGGGATTTGTTCTTTTATATGGACAAGGTTGCTTTGCAGTGTGTCTGGTGTTTTGGAGAACACTCTGATATCGTGCATGTTAAGTACTCTTCTGATATCGTCTGACGTCTCTGCTCTGTGTGGAATGACAACTATTTAGGCCCACATTTTCGGAATATGTTTTCGACCATATTTAATGTCAGAGTTGATTTTGTTGATGAAGGTCCTTGGGTAGTTATTTTTCTTGAGAGTCTCAGTAATGTTTGTTATTTCTTCTTTTTCCTTCTCATCTGTTAACATCAAAGATTGTGCTCGTCTAAAAGACTTAAAACAACTGATACCTGATAATTTTATACACTTATCAAATCCAACAGTCTACACCTGGTTCTGTTATCTTTAAGAATTGGCCAACATAACTACGCGAAAATGACCCCATGCTGATGAACGATGATTAAGTTGTTTTGTATATAAACTGAGATTTTGTAAATTCTGGTTTAATAATACTTTGATAAAGCTATTAGCAGAATTAACCAGCGAAACGTCAATAAAAGCAATATCGTTTTATTTTTTATTCATTGGGAAATACAAATAAACTTTTATTATAATGATAAAAATTGCCTAAGATTGAATGCTTTTACAGATACTTTCACATACAAAGAAATATTATTCAGAATAAAATGCCATTGAAATGCTTCTAAGCTGAGAAGCATAAAAATGCAGCTCTAACAGACATTTAACTTTAGGAGACCGCAGATATGAGCTAGGACCTCAAAATTCAAATATTAAAGTTATGAATAACAGCTAATAATAATAATAATAATAATAGCTAAATCCCGTAGATCTATGAAGTTTAATTTTAAGGGTTTAACTGTCAAGACTTGGTTTTCCTGAAACACTGTTTCATTCGTTGTGGGTTAGCTTCAAATGGGTGTAACTGTGTGTGTGTGACTGAATTTTCACTTACATCTGATCACCATACTTATCATTTCTGATATCAGAGTCATTTGCTACTTGTCGATCCTTGTAATTTCAGTTTATCTGGTGGTTTGATT